ATATTTAATAAATACTTATTATAATTATATAATTACTTGCTAAATATTTAGTTTTAAGTATTCACTAGATATAAGATGCATTGGAATTGATTTAATAAGTAATTGGAATAAGTATTTAATAAGTACTTAGTAAATACTTGACGAGTATTTGGTTATATATTGTAATAATATTATAGTACAATTAAAAAATATAATATACCACATAAAGATCTTGATATAATTTCAGACACTTTATTGCAAGAATATAAAAAGATTTTAATCTAACAAATATATCATTATTTACTATTAAGTTTTACCAGAATAAGCGAAAAGTATTATTAATTCTATGTATTAAAAGTTAATTTGTTGCTATTTTTGCAAGATATATTCACTAATTTTCTAATAGCTCATGAGTATACAAATATAGATTTCATAAAGAGTTAGCCTATTTGACTTTAGCAAAAATTTTAGAAGATCCTAAATAGGATTAAAAATATTATAATCAGAATTAGCAAATATATATTATTTTTGAATAGCTATCAAATCAATAATTTAGTTTTAATATTTAGTGCTTGGATCTGATCAAAAAATCTGTCAAATTTTCAATTAGATATCTGTTTGTATCGGATAACAAATATACGTATTGCAGATAGTCGGATACATGTTTAACTATCCGATACTTTGATTAATAACAATGATATATTATTGTTATGATATAAATAAATGATATTAAACTATCTGATACTTCAATTAATAAAATAATGATGCATTATAATGATATAAATAAATGAAATTATAAGCTTTTTATTTTGATTATACGATTATACAATAATTTTTTCTTATTTATATTTACCTTAATAATAATTTTTTTTATACTCATTCATAATAATGGATAGCGAAGATTCTTTACAATTTAATGAAACCTCAAGCGAAACTTCTATTAGTTGCTTAAATGATGATATTGTTACTACACATTCAATAGATAATAATCAATCAAAAAAAAGAGGAGGTTCCAGGAAAAGAAGCTGGATATAGGACTATTTCAAGGACTTACCTACTAAACATGGATCTAAAGGCCAGTGTGATATGTTAAAAAATGATAGTACAAAATGTAATCATATTATTGAAACTGATAGCAATACAAAAAATTTTAGTTATCATCTTCATATTACACATGGAGTTACGAAATTTGGGAAACTAATATTAGATAACTCCCAAGCATCAATTGATGACATGCTTCGTCAATGATTCAAGGATAATGTTGAATATAAAGAGCAAGTCGACAGCATGGTGGCTGAATTTCTTATATCTGATTCACAACCATTTTCTGTTTTAGAAAATCCGGCATTCAAAAAACTTTTAAAAAAACTTAATCCATATTATGAAATACCTTGTGACAAAGGTATTAAAGCTCGAATTTGTATGTCTTATAATTGGATGTTGGCCACTCTTCAAGATATATTGAAGAATTCAATGAATTATTGTGGGTTAACAATAGACTTATGGACTTCCCGCAGTAATAGTGGGTATCTTGGAATCATATGTTCATGGATCAATTCTTGTTTTGAATTGCAAGAAATTACTTTGGCTATTCGTGAAATAAAACACCCACATACTGGATATACAATCACTTTTTTATTGAAATCTATTATCCAAGATTGGAACTTAAATACGAAATATTTTATGATAACAACTGATAATGCCAAAAATATGAAAAAGGCTGTTATAGAAATTGAAGAAGTTGATCATCTTTCATGTTGTGCACACACTTTACAACTAGTTATAGGAAAAGAGCTATTACCAGTTAAAGTTTTAGTTATACAAGCAAAATGGTTAATACAATTTTTTACATCTCCTAAACAAAGCGAACAGCTTGAAATAGCACAAATTTCTTTAAACCGTGAAGTATGCAATAATATTAACAATAATCACGAATATCTTAAAGTTATAATGGATATTGCAACAAGGTGGGACTCTACGTATATAGCATGGGTGAGAATTTTAAAATTAAAACCAGCAATCAAAGTAATGCAATTAACAATGAGTCACAGCAAAAACTCTATAGTTAAAAAAGATGCAAGGCGTCTTAAATGAATTATGCTAACACCTGAGGAATAGCAATTAATGAAAGATTTAGTTAAAATTTTACAACCTTTCGTTGATGCTACGAAGATGCTTGGTAGAAGCAAATATACTACAATGTCATATATGTTTCCTGCTATATTATCTCTTAAAAAATTGCTTAATATTATATATGATGCTCAAATTAATATAAATCTCGATGATTCTAATACAGTTTTTGATAATGATCAAGAATTTTAAAAAGAAATTGATCTCATAGATGAATCTGAAGTACTTAATACTGAATTTGAAACAAAAATCAATCAAACTAAAATTAATATTCCACAAGTCTATAATAGTATAGTTGAAAATGTAAAAATCATATTATTTAATGCTTTAAATTACTATTAGGAATATCTAATTCGTGAAGCTCTTCTTGCAATACTCCTTGATCCTAGAAATAAAAAAATAGAATTTGCGACTTATTCTCAAAGACTTGAGGCCGAAGCATATTTAGTGGCTGAGTATGAAGTATTTAAAGAGCAAGAATCAATACTGACAAATATAGTACAAATGGATAACCTTGAAGAGGAAGAAAATGTCTTGTTAGCTATTATGTATAAACCTATTCAAGAATCTGACATTAATAATGAAATTCAAACTTATTTTGCATTGCCGAAAATTTCAAGTACTCTTTGTCCTTTAAAATGGTGGAACAGGCAGCAATTAAATTTTCCTATATTGAGCAAAATAGCTCAAAAATATTTATGTATTCCAGCTACATCCACAGCTAGCAAACGACTCTTTAGGATACAGGAAATATTATGACTGCCAAGTGAGCTTGTTTAAATGCTGATTTGTTTGAACGTATGCTATTTCTTAAAAGAAATGTAAATTGCACTGGTGTAATATTTCCTTAAAACGCTTTAAGAGCATTTATTTTTCGAAAATAATGATGTTATATATGAATTTTTAATTAGCAATATCAATAAAATATACATATTCTACTTGCATTAGCTCTTTTTATAATAATTCATATAATAAAACTTTGTTATTTAATGCTTTTACTATAATCTATATATTGATATTATAATAAACTTATTAAAAAAATTTTACTATTGGTTATTCGCTATAAAAGTTTGTTATATGGTGTGTTGGTTTTGTTATACGTAAAAGGGTATAGAGTTGACTATATGTTAATTCAACAGATTTAGTCAGTTAGTTTATAGCAGATATCTGAAAATTGCATTTATCCAGTGAATAGACAAAATAGATAGTCGGATATCTACTAGATCCAAGCTCTATTAATATTGATCCAAATCAAGATAATATTAATCCTTTAAAATTAATATTAAATAAAAATAAATTAAATAAAAAAAGAAAGCCAAAAATTATCATAGCAACAACTCTTTCTGATGATCATTCGTATTAAAATTTTTGACTAATAAAAATGAAAAACTTGTTGGAGAAAGTAGAAAAGACAACTAAAATAACAGTTTTTACAGAGATCAAGACTTCTGACTGTTTTCTTCCAGACTTCTCTATAAATTAAGCAAGCAAATAAAAGTGTTCTTGTATAAGATAACTAGCAGAAGGTAGTACCCTTGTACAGAAAATTTTGATAGAAACATAGTTTTTGCTGATGAAGTAAAAGTTAGTTGGTCTAAAGAAAAACAACAAGCAAGTTTTTAACACACTTCTTATTGAAGTTTAAGGCTATCTACAAACCAAAACCCTCTTTCAAAACCCCACTCTCATTCTTCACGAAATTTTAACAAAAAGTGGAAAATACAGCATATCTCTATCAAAAGATCGACACAACAATTGCTGTTGAAAAAGGAAGTTCTTAAAGCCAGATTAAAAAAAGTTATGTTTTTGATATTTTAAGAGTTATTTTTTTAATACAGTTAAGGTGAGTAAGTTATTTATATATCAAGAATACAATTTATGCAGCATGTAAATCATTATATAAAATCTGCTCCGCTTTAAGAGACCTTCGAAAAAGAAAGTCACGTACAGAAGTACGTATCTACTTGGTAGTGTTCTACATGATTCAGACCGGGTGAATATTTTTAAAGATCCATACCAGTCCGAATATCGATTCAGATCTAAAGTTAGGGTCTGAACTTGTATTACTTAAATTCGAGTCTGGTTCAGATCCGTGAAATTTCAAAATTTATAGATGCTATAGTTGACAAAGCCCTAGTATCCTCGCTAAAAAAAAAAAAAAAAAAAAAATAATTATAGCTGTTTTTATAAATTCTGTGACATTTGATAACAATTAGCCAAATGATTTTTCGTTAACCAGTAGCAAAACTATAGGAAGGTTGTAAAAATTTTTTTATAAATAAATTAATACTGTAAAAAATATATTTAAATATATTTAAACTAATAAATAAATAAATTATATATTTA